GATAGCCTCACCCCCCGTAACACCCGCTCAACTCTTTGGTTAGTTGATCCCGGATATTCGAAACGGCTTCAATATTATATAAAAAGAATTACAGGAAGATCCCTTGGTGACTTCTTAGGGAATGCCTTCGCATTCCCTTTGGAAACGCCACACATGTCACCCTTTGGGAGACGCTAACGCTGACCCCGCCCACATTTTTCTTTTAAATTTCTCATTTGCTTTTTCTATTTTTATGTTGTTTTTTTTTGCCTCGTTAAAGGGTCGGCTTTAGCGTCTCCCAAAGAGGGACGTGTGTGCTGTTCCTTAAGGATCATGATAATGGATCCCATAAGAATCCCCCAGTGGACGTTCCTGTAATTTTCTCACTCCTTTTTCGTGCCTTCGCTGTCAGAGTACGTCGACGCCCTTAGATATGGTCATCCATATCACTTGGTGAAAAAACCCCATCCATTCCGCTCGTGGAAGGAATCACATTCATATCACTCGAGGAATGAACCGCCATCCATTTTTAAACTACACACACATGCCACTTCGCTCCGGGTTTCCGTTAATACGGAAACCCAGAGCGAAGAACAACCGGCGACGGATGAGCGGCAACTGAGCACGCCCGTGTTCCACCGCGCCGCGGCGCAGCACCTCCTATATAACAAAGCCTTAGTGTTGAATAAGACGACATCATGAGAGACGGCCAACGCTGGGCACAGTTTGGACACAACGATTGCTTCAACGTTCGGCTCAAACGTGACTCGAAGCCAAGCGCTGACGCAGCAATTGTTTCCAATCTGTCTCCGGCCTTGGCCTTCTCTTACGATGCCATCTCATTCAGCACTATTGCTTTGTTATCTAAAAGATGTTGCGCGGCGCCTCCTCCTCTCTGGCCCCGCGCCTGCTGTGCGCGTGACTGTGACGTAAACGGAAGGTGACGTTTTGACGAAAACCCGGCGATGTCTGTCAGCTTGTCAGCGCCGGGAAGAGAGGGAGAGGTTGACGCGGGCCGAGGTAAGCGCTTCGAACCATCGGTAACGTCGCACGCGTTACCAATGGTTCCCCCCTTCCCCCCTTCTTCTCCGTCTCTCCATAGCGCTCACGAACGAACGACACCGCCGGGTTTTAGCCAAAACGAGCGTTCAAATGCTAACGCATTAAAAAGAAACTACAATAGGAAATCAAAGTTTACTAGGCTTTAACCCTTTGGGCTGCCGTCTATACTATTTGCGTTAAACCCTTTACTAATCCAAGCTAAAAAAAATAGACGGAAGAACCGTAGACTTAAAGAGAACCAACCTCACCCGCTCCGTCGCAGCCGCCGCTACGGTCACCGGGCGCTGGACAAACAGGATCGGTCGGCAGTCAGTCATCCCCCGCCTCCCCCCCTTCACCCCAGTCTGTTTGCGGTACCAATTCGAACGGCCCTGTCTGTCTGTCTGCGTTTGTTTGACGACCCAACGACAGATCGCAGCGCCTCGGTCCTCTCCTACCAGCCGCTTCGAGCCGCTGGACTGACCACCATCGCCGGACTCCGGTCCCCCACCCCACCGCTAATCCACCCACTAGTGCGGTGATACCCACCATGACTGGACAGCTTTGCTTTGGGCTTTGGTTTTACTTGCATTGCTTTAGTCTTTATTCTTGTTCGGTTCCTCCGGGTTGTTTTGTGGGTTCTTGCCGGTATTCATTTGTCTTATGTTGTTTTGGAAACGAGAGTGGTGTAGGCGGCGGGTATGAAGACGCCGGATTAGGGGGGGGGGGGGGGGGGAGAGAGAGAGAGAGAGAAACGCTCCTAATAGATTTTATTGTGTCTCATTCAACCATTATTGATCTTCAATAAATCATCACCTCGCCTTTTTCTTCCCCCCCTATTCTTTTTCTTTTATAATGTACCGTTTTCATTCTTTTGCTTTAACCTTTTTAGTGACAGCTTTCAACGCCACTACGTGCCACTTGCTTACTGCTGGTTTGTAGTTTTTTTTTTTTTTTCTTGCAGTTGTTGTGATTTGCAGCTATTTATTTCTGATAGGCGTTTATTGTTTTGCGTGATTTGTTGCTTTTGTTTTTAATGCAGCGAATGAAGTTTGACCGTGATGGATCCCCGACAGCCATGGAGGAAGTGCATAGGAAGCACGGTCATCAGAAATATCAGTATGGGATCAGCTCTTCTTGATAGGATACATCCTTCATCCTCGTTCCGGTCTCTATTTAAGCCCATGTTTTGTTATTATCTTCTCTAATTGGTCAAAGGAAGTCTGCGGCGCATTGCTGCAATCACTGCCATGGGCAGTGATTGCCATTGCGCATGCGCGCAAAGTAAGCAACCATATCTGCTTAGCGACCGTGCGTAAGGTAGTCACGCGGGTCACCAGATAACGCGAGAGCACAAGGACAATGTGGTATCACTCACAGCTAAAGAAACCTAGTGAGTAACTTACCATGTTCACACTATTCGTTTCTTGGGATACGTTCTCCGGCGTTATTTTTGACTAGCTTCGTAGTCTCATTGACTGTAAAGCGATCATAAGGTTCTTAAAACTCGATAAGCCGTGCAATTCTTAAGCTCTCGGAAAATATAGAGAATAATTTCCTGGCCTCATCGGTGCTTACATCTCGACACCACTTCTTCGGCATCAACACTTTCAGCACAAACCCTCTGGAATGACAAACATTCGAAAAAAAACGAGTTTGAGATCTCCCATCCACACGGCCCATCTTAGTACCTCCCCGATGACCGATGGCGCTTCCCGCACGACCCGCGCGGAAGCCTAAACTGACAAATTGGGACCGGCAGGAAGCCGAACCCTACCGATCCGGGAACAATTCCAACGGCAAACACGCCGTCCTTCCAGTGGAGGCCCTCCCAAGCCGGGAGCTGTCCAGCCACCGCCTGAGCCCCACAACTATCCAGCGCCATTGTCCACCCCCCCCCCCCCCCCCCACCGTCCCCCCCACCAGGCAGGAGCGTCAAGCAGTCTGGCAACCCCTATCTCCCCCACCCTTCCCTCTTCGTTCCCCAACAACGCAACCACCTTGCGGTGGTAGATGCCGTGAATCCACCTTCACGCTGACGGCGGCTGGAGGAAGAAACTGCGTGGCCCTCATGGTCCCGCTAAGCCTAGATGCCTCCCGCGGCCATTGTCCAGAACAGTTCTTTGTGGCCCTTGTCGTGGCCCCCTTCTGGCCAGCTGAGGATCCTCGGGCGAGGGTTGCGCGCGTTTCGGCACGTTTTCCAGACCCCCTTCTATATAGCAATAGAAGGCTCGCACGGGACTTCTGTGTGTGTATGTTTGTGCGTCGGTGTCCTTGTGTGATGTTCCTTTGGACGTTACCTGCCCGCCTGCTTGCCTGGCAGAGCGCTTTAGAAGAGGATATTGCTCGCACGTGCAACCAGTCTTTAGGAGTCTTCCCCCAATTTAAGATTGGGTTTCGAGCAAAATAGCGATAAAAAAGTGGGGAAGACGAAGCAGAAAAAGGAATGGGCGATCCTGGGGGAAAAGTCAAGAATGCGACTTTTTGTCGTGCGGTGGCGTGGGCGACTAGTCTAGTTCGATGCGCACAGTACCCGATCGGGCTTTGTGTGAGCCTAAATGCTGTGAAATTGGTCGGGTCAGTCACAGGAGGTTGAAGCCGTACTTTTGCGTCGATCGGAATGCTCGGAATGCGGTGCCTCACAAGTACATTGTGGATGAATTTATTACCGGTTTATTACTGGGCACGAGTGAGCGATGTTGTATCTCAAAAAAAAAAAAAAAAAGTATTGAAACGCAAAAGTGGTAGGTAAGAGGTTTTGGATCATTTGTTATGAAATGTGATATGAATTGTGGCATGCTTTAAAACAGCTTCTTAAAAGGCTTAAAATTGCTTTGTGTTATGCGATATAACTATTCACAACGCCTGTTGATTAAGCAACGTTTTGAATAATAAATCAACAATAAATTTCTCATGATACGAGTGGATCATCATAAGAACGCGGCTGGATTCATTCAGATTATACATTATACAGTATACACTCATTTTATACAGTATCAATTATACATAATACATGCACTTTATACATTATATATTCACTTCATTTCTTGATTGGTTTATTAGAAACTCATGCCACGTAATTCTGTGATGTAAAGAACGAGCAAATTGAATACGTCCGATTTCTATAACACATATTTTAATTGATGTAAAAACGAAGGTCAAAGAAACCAAGCATCAATATCTAATGTAGCATAGGGGCTATTTGATTTATGTTCACTCAGGCGTTACATTTGAGTTTCTTTTATTTCCCTCAAATTTTATATGTTGTGGCGTATCCCATACGAAAGACAATGCTTTATATCTAGAATTGCAGACATGTTTAATTTTAAAACAATAAAACATATAAGAGAGAGGGAAACACGGCGGCCTTTTGACGATTGTTCTCTGGGACATCCCTAATTTGCGCTCGATTTAAAACTATTATCGACAAATTTTCAATAATTTTATTTGGTGAACTTTGTGTAATTTGATAACCGCGTCATTGGGGACACTTGGACCCCGGCTCGGCGCTCGTAGTTCTTCGCTTACACAGGGATAGGTGCGCCAAAACGGGGGGAGGGGGGGGGGGGGGGCATGCTTTCGCCGAACATAATCAGAACGCTTCACCGAATGAAGTACCATCAACTAAAGGTGTTTCTTACACCCTAATTCTTACAGCCTAAGCGTCTAAAACAATGTAAAATCTGGGTCCGTAGACGTAGGAAACATTAAGGCAACTAGAACCTTTGACTCTTTGCCCACTCAGGGCTGAGGATCAAGTTTTTTTGGTTCTACGAGCGCTAAACTTGAACTTGAGTCTCATAGTGCAAAGAAGTGCAGCGTGGCCGCCGCTGGTATAGCAGGAGAAGCTTATGAATTTTGGACGGCGCTACTCCCCAGGTGATAGGAGAGTGATTAGATAGCTCCTCCCCGACCCGACCCGTCCAGTTCGTCTCCATAGGAACAAGGTGGGACTATCTTATCAGCAACGGGGCCAGAACAACCGTCAGGGCGACCCCAGTGACCGCAAGGCAGAGCTGCGCCTGGCTTCGATACGTTTACAACCCTGTGCTCCGGGGAACGAAGCTCAAACTCTGCTCCAAGAAAGAAAGAAAAAAAAACGGGGTGCGGACCCTAGAGGTTCCCGTGTGGGTGCAAAGATGGGTGCCGGTGCACTATCCGTGCCTCGGTGTCCTTGGGTCTTCTGAGGTTGATAAGGTTCCCTTTCGATGCGATAACACCACCGGGAGCGGCGGCAGCGGCAGCAGGAGCGACGGAAGGGAAGCGTGCTGTGATTTGTGCGAGAGATATCGCTTCTTCTGGGCTGTTCCTCCCGTAGCCGAGGACAGCCTGAAGGTTCGGCGAGGACTACCAGGGCTTTTGTGTTCCGGAAGTGCAACAAATCCTTTGCAGTTTTTGGTCACGGCCTCCCGTAAAGTCACCTGTGGTCTGTTCTCAACGTGGCTTGGCAGTGTGGGAAGATCGCAGGATTTACGCCGCTTTTTACAGTGTGCGTATGCTGGTGTATGTGCTGCGTCCACAAGGTGATCCGTCCAGGCAATACTTCTCATATTCGAGGAGGATCACGTCTTTCCTTGCCAACAACTGCACGAGACGTCGACGGAGCCTTGGGTTACAATGGTATACCACATAAATTGCTCGATGTAAGCCTGAAAGCTAAGCTCTCTTGAATCAGGATCTAAGGACAAGACACGCTTCTAAAAGCCAGATATTGTACCGTATATCCAGAGAGGAAATACAGCTCGGCATTCATTTGAAGAAGCCAAAGAATTTTTTACCACGGCCTCTAACCTGTTGACGTCGCGCGATAACAAAGAAACCATAGTGAAGAAGTAACTACTTGGACAGCTCTCGGAACGCGAACACCCAAGGAGCATTTTTTCGACATCATCGACTGAATTCATCGCATTTCGAGCCCTACCTGTGGGACCATACCAAGCTTACCACATCGCATGAATATCCCAGTGCATTCCTACAAACCGGTCTTCAGAAAAACAGGGAAGAAAATAGCCTTACAGTTTCCAACTGGAACAACCGATCCGTTCTACAAGGACACTTTTTCTGAGGAACCCGAAGCCTCATCCAAGTCGCCACGAGACTGCGCTGCTGTAGCTTTCTGACGCCAGGAGACATTAATGGAACTTGGTCCAGTATCCACCATGATGTATGGGGACAGGTGGTCCGATTGTACCTACGTTCCCGATGGCATGTCCATGCAGCCCAGTACATGCGGCAGCGTACCAGACCCTCCCCTTTTGGATGATAACCTGGATTACCGGTAAGACATTACTACCTGCTAGACATGTCCGTATTGTTCTGGGGCCATCAGAAATTAAAAAAAGAGATTGATTTCGTTACTAAACGTCACCTTAGAGGCGGAAATAGTAATGTAACCAGGAACAAGGTCTACCAAAAAAGCGATTCGCAGAGCTGCCTAGGAAGAAACGGTTTGTTGATGTGAGTGCTCTTGTGTATCACCATATAGTAGGGTACAAGTTATTTTAAGTTAAACAATGTGGTTCGTTTTATTGCACAGTCTATTTACTTGTCGGAATAATTTGATAACTTGAACTTGCAAGTTGAAATGTTCAAACGACAACAGGGGACGCGTGCTTCCCATGTTTCAGATTCATGGAGTATATATGAGTAAAAAAATCACAGAAAGAAGTGAGTTTTATTCTTAAGTACCTTGCCAAACGTTGTATCCTCAGGAACTAAGAATAAATATATTGTGTTCATCATATCATGGTTGGAACACCAACGCTTGTTTTTTTTTCATTCACGATTTAAAAAAATAATAATAAGCATAAAATATCTTAAACGAGTTGCTGAATATATTTTTGAAGGCAACTAAACAGTTAGTGAAGTAACTTTTTATAAGGTAGAAAGAATTATCTAACACCACAACAAAATAATAATTTTACACTTTAGAGCACGTAGCTGCTGTTTTTTACATGTTTACGATCCTTTTCAACTGTTTCAATACTAGCATAAGAAAAAAACACCTTCCGAAATTTTTTTATAGTTTAGCCTTCAACTAAACAGCTTGAACTTGTTCCATTTATTGTAGATAGGAGTCCGTGTATTCGCAGTAATTTTTATCTAATATTTTTCGGAGTTAACTTTTTATATCAGATTTGGTATTTCCTTAACTTAGTTAAGATATTTGATTACCTCTTCATAATTATAACTAGTGTGAACCTGTCAATATTTGCCCCAAATGATATAGAAAGCCGAATTAATTAGAAAGAAGATATATCATCATTAATATCTTCAGGAATTTTAAAAGTACTGCCACTTCCCTGCAAGGAACCGAAATGGCATACTCCAAACATGAAATAAAAAAGCGGCTGGACAATTAAATGCTTAGATTGGCTTCTGTCGTATAACTTTATTGACACTGGCTCATTGTCCTGATGGGGTTAGGGTGTCAAAGCAGCCGTTGACGCTGACCTTTTGTCGATCCTTTAAAGTTAAAGGTAGCACTAGGGTGGTTTCCCCCAGAATTGAAATCGACCTGGTTGATTTACCAAGAGTAATGTTTGTGTTAATGCTTTTATCGCCGTCACCTCGGATATTGGAGCATTTTAAATAATTCTGAAACTACGAAAATTGTTTACCAGCGAGTTTTTTACTTGGTTTTTATTTTCGGCTGTGTCCCAAAACAACCAACTCTAATTATCGGCATATCACATGAATGCATCATAACGTAGAAAACAGATGTAACCTTTCGGGGTGTCTCGGGAGATTCACGTGACCCTGTCGGAAAAAGCAGGTATTATATCTTTAAATGGTCTTATTCTCAAAGTTCAACGTGGTCTACCATTCATTCGTATCAGCATGATGGAGCTTTTGGTGTTGAGCTGGGAAATCGTTTTCGCTCGCACTAAGTGACCCTAAGAAATCGGGGTCCTTTAAGCATCGTAACGGCATGTACATTGAAGATGGTTGTCAGGAAATGCATGGTATACAGACGAGCTGCCCATTTACAGCAATTTATTTGAGATGGAAGTTAATCGAGACTTCCCGCGGCCTACACAACTGCGTAAGTACCGGGGTTTCTAGGACTCAAAAAATGTGGGGGCCTCCTTCTCATCAACTTGCACTCGAAAAATGAGGTTTATCGCTCAATTAGTCTGTGACCCAAACTTTTGACACTAGTACCACGAACCTTTTATACGGTCGCTGCCGTCACCTCTATTAACTAATCCGCTGCAAATGCCGCACTTCCCCTATGTACATTGTTTGTAGGCACTCCAACATGTATTTGAGTGAACGCATTACACATTACCTGCGCAAGACACTACAGCAATATTAATTATTCTTTTAGAGTGAGAATACGTTACTTGATTTGTTCATGGCCTAAAACAAAAATAGAGATGCCTAATTTTTTTTAATCTACACGACTGTCCGTCTCGTTGAGTACGTCTAGAAATGTTACATGTTTTCGTGTCGAGCGATCACAAAAGCCTCTGCTCCACCCCTTACTCTGCCAGGAAGGTTGGAATTGCTGCTTCCAAACATCCTGATGTCGCATTTCGAATGACCCCACGCACAGATGAGATATAGACCATTCTAATGCCACTGAGAGCTACGAACCTATTACACTGAATACGGCCAATCAAACATTGCAGTTTCAGCAGAACGCCCTGTCATTAATTACTTCCAGAACGCTAAGGACTACTGAAAGCCACCAGCAGCAACATCATTTACTAAAAAGTCTTGTAACACGGTCAAATAATTTTCTTCGCGCACCTAAACGAGTTGTGAGGCGAGGGGGGAGATTATTTTAATAGGACAGACAGAGATTGCTCATGGTGACACATCTCAGTAATCTGTCCTGGGGTAAGGGAACAAGGACTTTAGGAGTAGCCAGGAGTTGTGCCAGTGCTAAAGATGTACACACAATAGTGTAAGGCTATCTTATAAAGTGGGTATATACCTTCTGAGCATTCCGTGCAGACTAACTGTTTTGGTCAAATCCGCAGTGGTGTTTTTGCCTTCGGTGGTGCTACAAATGTTGGGAACAACGAGAGATTGAGTATAAGGCCATAGCCGAATGTCTCAATCGCTTCTTCAGTCTGCCGCATGAACCCGTGGCTTAGTTGAGGCAGGGTAGCACCGCTCAGACATTATACAACAGACAGTCTGCAAACACGAGACATTTCAATTTCCATAGTTCGAATGCCCTGTGCCAAGTTTCTCCGTGAACTCATTGCCAAGCGGCATTCGAAGCACTGATCTCGCGAGGACTCGCGCTCGATGCAGACTGCCTTTTGTATAATGTATAGGCATTGTGACCCCGGCTTTAGGGGACAGCACAATGAAGCATGAAATGTTTACGCGTGGTGAGACGTTTAGAAATTTGTCCCTCATGAAACCCTAAACTTCGGTACTTTTCTTCAAATTTCACATTCATATCTAACTTCCAACGGTGGACCTAGTTCGTTGGTGCTAACCGACAAACAAAAGCTGCATACATACCCTCTGTCCGTCCTCTCGCATCTGGCGTCCACCCGTTGCATTTAAATGAATGCCTAAAAAAGACATCAGTGAAAAAAAAAAACTTTGTTAAGGCGTTTTTTTCCTGTTTGTACAAGGCTGCCGGTATCCCACTTATTTTGTTGCCAGAATATTAACGTTCTATTTGTCATTTGTCAACACTTTATAATTTTTTACCAGCTTTCACATTAGACGAATCCCTCTCTTAATAAATCGTAAAGGTCGCCTACGAATAACAAAATTACTAATTGATGCACAGTCCAAGAAAACAATATTTATCCGCAAGAATCATTTATGTACTCGAAGACTTCAGTTTGTACCGCGTTACTTTTTTTCATCGATAGTTTTACTGCGGCAACATACATAAATATCAGAAGGAAAGTATTACCCTATTTTTACATAGCCACCGGAGAATCTGTAATTCCAATTCTAGATTTTACCTTTTGCCAAGCTGGCGGACTTGAAGAGCACAATTATCTGTACTTTCTTGAAATAGTTCAGAGAAAAATCTGAACTTTATGTTCTTACTTACTTCAAAAGTAAGTAAGTACTTACTTATAAAATATAAAACTTAAAATAAATAAAATATAAAATAAATAAGTAAGTGAGTACTTACTTATTTTATAAGTACTTTCTTAGAAAATATTATGGTGGGTTCTTCACGGTTATTATCTGTGCGATGTTATAGTACCTTCTCAGTTAAAGCTCTCTGATTTCTGCATTCAGCCGTTCTTGTGCTATATCCACACGAAAAAGTTATTATGTTCCCATAAAATTACCCAGAAGTTGCTGCTCTTGAGCCGGGGCCGGCAACATTATAGTTCTTGCGAATCTAGCATTGCCGCAAGGTTACTGATTGAAAATCAATTCTAGGGCAAAAAAACTGACGTGCCATACGAGTTTTTTTTTTTTTTTTGCTACTTTCGTCTAAATTCCAATGCATATGCTTTGTTATGCTATCAGTTAATCTATTGCCCCGAACTGCAGCTTACTGTTGTCAAAATATTGCAATATAGAGCTCACTCTTTGTTACGAGCCGTATCGCAATGAATGACACGATCAGTCGGATTATTTAAGGCATTGATAAATCACATAGAGCATAAGTATTGGTTGGCCAATTTTTTAACGGCTGAACGTGCAAATTTCCAAGGTCAACTTAATGGTGTACTGTGGTCGTTGCATAAAGGCGATTTGTTTACCCTTCTTATTGCAGTCTATTGAAGAAACAAAAGGCGATATTATATTGGTGCAAATTAACCTTAGCAGCTGGGGTAACAAAAACAAATATATAAATATGGAAGAGACGCAAGAATGTCTGTTGAATTTCTTGGCGTGCGTGTGTGCGTACACGTGCATGTGAGCGTGCGCGCGTGTGTTTGTGTGTGTGGGTGTGTACGTATCTTTGTGTGCGCGAGTGCGTTTGTGCGTGTGTGTGCTTTTTTAGGCAAAATGTACAAGTATTTATGACTATTTGAAATGTAGGATACCCCTTCATCTATCTTTGTAGAGAATTGGAAAATGCAAATATCTAAACCGCCTACTAAAAGCGCTGTAGCTGAGAACAAGATGTTGCTTGGGCATCTTTTTTCTTTTCCCACTTTAGTACTAGTTTACTTTCTTCATCCCCATATCATAATAATTTCCATGATAATAAACTTCCACCAACTCAATTCATTGTAAATATTTTGGTTTATACACATCATATCACTAAGCCAACAAAGACTGACTTAATAGCAGGTGCTTTTGTAACTTTACTGCGCCACATTAGGTTGTCAC